TGGACGGTTCGTTTGGCTAAGGAGTTTTTTGAATATGAACCACTATTCAAGGAGGGTCTTCACCGGCCCTATATAACAGTTGGGACAGAGGAGGCCGTGGAACACCTAACGAAGGATGGGTTTGAGAATATTGTGATGGTTACTCCGGAAAAAGGTATGATGTACACCAAGGTCATAGTGTTTAAGTATCCAACTTATTTGGATCCTGATTATCTATTGCTCAACAATGATAGTGTTGTTTGGGCAAAGAGGAACAGTGTTCGTGGTGAAAAACAAAGCCAGGTTGTTGCCTTGGTAAAGGGTGAGGCTCCAGAAAGAATTTTTGTGCAAGGACTAGGCTACAGGAAAGTTGTAAAATACATTGAGGAGCCCATATTATGCATGAAGTGTTCTCGTTGGGGACATATGGCTTGGAAATGCCAGTTTGACTCCAGGTGTCGGTACTGTGGTAAGAAACACGACTCTCGAGAGTGTAGAGTCAAGATTAAAAACGGTGAAAAAATCGTCCCATCTTGTTGCAATTGTCGAGGAAGCCACAATGCTGGTTCCTATCTATGTCGCATGAAGCCTCATCTGAGAGACTCGAGGACGGGTGCTACAAGCAGGATAGATGTATCCTCGAAGGAAGGAAAGATTGTGCAGCAGGAACATGGAGGAAACAGTTGGAAGCCAATGACAGCGCCTATGAACAATGTGTGGGAGAAAGGAACAGAGACAATTAAGGCGAGCCTAGGGAAAGTAGGAAATGCAGCTGAAAAAATTAAACCTTGTGGAAACAAGGTTCAGGTCAATATAGTGAACTCTGAGGTTGGTACTCAAATATTGGAATATCTAAAAAAACTAGAAAAGAGGATTGAGGCATTAGAAAAATTAACTATGGGGGGTAGACGGGGTGAAGATGGTGGTGAAACAGGACGTGAAGTGGAAAGTGAAACAGGACGTGAAATGGAAAGTGAAACAGGACGTGAAATGGAAAGTGAAACAGGACGTGAAATGGAAAGCCAAACAGGACGTGAAATGGAAAGCCAAACAGGACGTGAAATGGAAAGCCAAACAGGACGTGAAATGAAAAGCCAAACAGGACGTGAAATGGAAAGTGAAACAGGACGTGAAATGGAAAGTGAAACAGGACGTGAAATGGAAAGTCAAACAGGACGTGAAATGGAAAGTGAAATAGGACGTGAAGTGGAAAGTGAAACAGGACGTGAAATGTGCGTTGAAGAAAGTAAGGAAGAACATGACGTATTGATGATAGAGGATAGTCAGGAAAATGAACTTTCTAGTAGTGTTAGCGTTCAACCTTCTGTAGTGACAAATGTCGAAACAAAGGTTAAAGTAAAACGGTATAGAGAAATAAGAAAGAAATTAGATATGAATAAGATCACCTTTGATGCTAGTAGCTGTTGTGCAAATGAGGAGAAAGCAGAAATGTTACAGTGTTGGGAGAGTCTGTCTGAGAAAATCTCGTATCTCATGGAATGTGACAGACAGGGCAAAGGTAGTTTTATTAAATCATGGATGAAAGTAGAGTGAGAATATTATCTTGGAGCGTTAATGGGTTAAAATCTAGTGCGGTGGATGTACACTATTATACTCTTAGATAGTACTATATTAACCTGATATGTTACATGGGATTCTTGTATTTGTACTCACTGAATTTGTGCGCCCCTTGAGGGACTTGAAGTATGGGAAGGGGTAGAAATAGCCTAAGCTAATCTTTGATTTTTTTTTTTTTTTTTTTTTTTTTTTTTTTTTTTTTTTTTTTTTTTTTAACTTGTCTCAATAAACCTACTTGAACTTGGAAGACCATTATGTATTAAAGTGTCAAATTATGGATAACCATAGAAATAAGGAAATAAGTAGTGTACCACTTCAAATTGTTTGGATGTGTGATAATGATATGATAGACAGAATACTTAGGAACTACAAGAATTTTGCCCCAATGATTGTAACACTTACTATATTAATATGCAATGTTAAATGTTGTATTGTGATTTGTGTATCTGTACTCACTGAATTTGTGCGCCCCTTGAGGGACTTGAAGTAGAGGGGGGTAGAAATAGCCTAAGCTACTCTATCCCTTTGAGATGTATTTTTTTCTTGTCTCAATAAACATACTTGAACTTGAACTTGAAAGTGCATAATATAGAAAGAAATTGAATTGTCTACTCGTTTATAACTAGTTCACTGGTGCTCCATCATTACATATTGGTACTTTCTACCAAGCAGTTAAGAACTATCATTTCAGTAGGATGGATTGCTTGCACAGATATTGCCCGAGATAAAGTATTAATGACAATTAAGGTTGGTCTATCGTCCCTGGAAGGGGGGGGGGGTTATCTTGAGATGATTTCGGGGCTTTTAGTGTCCCCGCGGCCCGGTCCTCGACCAGGCCTCCAACCCCAGGAAGCAGCCCATAACAGCTGACTAACACCCCAGGTACCTATTTTACTACTAAGTGACAGGGGCATAGGGTGAAAGAAACTCTACCCATTGTTTCTCACCGGCGCCCGGGATCGAACCCGGGACCACAGGATCACAAGTCCAGTGTGCTGTCCGCTCGGCCGACCGGCTCCTCCGCCACCGGGGTGGAATACCTAACCTTGCGGTTACTTTTTCTTTCCAAGGATCAACGTCCCCAGGGCCCGGTCTCTGGCCAGGCCTCCTGCGATTGGTGATCTGGTCAACCAGACTGTTGGACGCCGCTGTGAGTTACCTACATTATACATATATATGCGTAAATAATAAGCCATTGACTTTCTTAACATTAATAACCCAAATTAGCCCAAAAAGTCGGAAATAGCTAGATTGAAAATTTATTAGCGCCGAGCTCTCCCAAGTAGCCCAAGTCGCTACTTTTAGCCCAATGTGGCGACAGTTAGATGATTTAGCGGGTCGCATTCCCGAGAAAATTACGAATAAGAACCTGCCCAAAACGCTATACGTGCTGGTGGCTTTATATATATATATATATATAATATTATATATATATATATATATATATATATTATATATATAACTGAAAACTCGCACCCCAGAAGTGACTCGAACCCATACTGCCAGGAGCAACGCAACTGGTATGTACAGGACGCCTTAAACCGCTTGACCATCATTTCAGGCTTGTTCGCATATATATATGCGGAAAATCCACAGAGAAATGCGAAAGGAAGTGAACGTTTGAATTTGGTGTTGACAACGGCTTTAATCAGGCCGAAACATTCACTTCCTTTCACATTTCTCTGTGGATTTTCCGCATAAAAATGATCAGTGTTTTGTGATCGTCAATTACATATTATATTGTAATATATATATATATATATATATATATATATATATATATATATATATATATATATAACTATAAATTATAACCCAATAACTATATATATATAACTATATATATAACCCAAATTAGCCCAAAAAGTCGGAAATAGCTAGATTGAAAATTTATTAGCGCCGAGCTCTCCCAAGTAGCCCAAGTCGCTACTTTTAGCCCTATGTGGCGACAGTTAGATGATTTAGCGGGTCGCATTCCCGAGAAAATTACGAATAAGAACCTGCCCAAAACGCTATACGTGCTGGTGGCTTTATATATATATATATATATATAATATTATATATATATATATATATATATATATATATATATATATATATATATATTATATATATAACTGAAAACTCGCACCTCGAAAACTCGAAAACTCGAGTTTTCAGTTGCATATGTCCTGGGGACCATTCAGGCTTGTTCGCATATATATATATATATATATATATATATATATAACATAAAATAAAAAGAAAATTGGCTTATATAACTACCTTCCCTGGGTCAGTTCTAGAGGGAGTGAACACAGTTCACAGTGTTCACATCAACAGCTTCCACACACGGTAACTCTACACGCAATATATCCCTCCAAGCACACAGTTCAAGGCTCCACAATAAGCGAGACACTAGCAGTGAACACACACACAGACGGTGAACACGGTGAACACGGTGAACAGGACCAGCCCGGCGGGACATGAACGGTGCTCACGGAGGAAAGATGGAAACTGACAGGAAACCTGCCACCAGTTGCCTAGTCACATCCCATACATTTAATAAACACATATATATTCCTGCAGTAGTCTAAATATATATATAAAGCTATATATAACTTGTGAATAAGTCTATGACATGCTTGCATGCATAATAGGAATGAGCTACAGGAATATGATCAATAATAGGGATTAGACTTTTTTAAGTGTTGAGTCAACAGGAACGCCTTTGTCAACGGTCCTCTGTCTCAACCACCATCCCTATAGTGACCTCCATGGGGGCAGGAAGCCGCTGGCTTGTCAAACAGACCCATATTATTCCCGAGGATTTTTTTTCCTACTAGAATTTTGAAGAGTAGTACTGAATTACGTAGCAATCTAATTAGCTGGAGGAATACATACACAATACAACTATTCTACACAGTACTTATATATTAAAATAATTTAACATTTTGTATATATATATTTTTGAATTCCTAGTGGCCGCATCTTTTATGACTAGGCTCAACAGTGAAAATAAATATTAATCGCTTTTAATTTCATTTCGAATGAGGCTATGCAATAATTACAAATTTTCCTGTTAACAGGTTTTCAATGGTTTCGGGTTAATTCAAGGATATATCAAATTAGTATAAATATCAAAAGTTAACACATTTAAATATTCAAATTTCTAAAATTATCATTCACGCTAAAGAGATATTTGAAGGCATTTAGCATGCAAGCAATTTTAAATTTGACGGCACTGTAACAGCAAGAGTGTTCGGAGGGACGCATTATTACAACAAATATGTGTACAGTTTATATTTAATTATTTTTAACGTACACATCTATTAATTATCTAAACTCAATCGTTTTGTACGTATTTTGAAAATTATATCGATATATATATAATAAAAATAAAATAAATATGAACAAAATTGCCATCAACACATTCGAACAGGTCAACGTGGTTAATGTAAACAAACTTGGAGGAGGTTGTGGCAGCCTCCCAAACACTTGGAGGAGGTCGTGGTAGCCTCTCAAACACTTGGAGGAGGTCGTGGTAGCCTTCCAAACACTTGGAGGAGGTCGTGGCAGCCTCCCAAACACTTGGAGGAGGTCGTGGTAGCCTCCCAAACACTTGGAGGAGGTCGTGGTAGCCTCCCAAACACTTGGAGGAGGTCGTGGCAGCCTCCCAAACACTTGGAGGAGGTCGTGGTAGCCTCCCAAACACTTGGAGGAGGTCGTGGCAGCCTCCCAAACACTTGGAGGAGGTCGTGGCAGCCTCCCAAACACTTGGAGATCCGCCGGGTTCAATCTTGAGGACCAGTGGACGTCTGGACACCTCCTCCACTTGGGGGCCGCCAGATCACGTTCTGTTGAGCGAATTTTGGATTATGATACTGCCGTTTAGCGTTCCTAGTCATCGGTTTGGATTGTTATTTGCTTGCCCAAAACGCTATGCTGTTGTTGTTATAGATTCAACTACTCTGAACAAGTTCCAAGTAGCATGGGCTATGGTGAGCCCGTAAACGCTATGCGTATTAATGGCTTTAGGTATTTGTATGTACTAGCTTTGCCTATAAATAATCAGAATGTATGTAACTCCATCTATCTGTACTTTCCCTAAATAAAATATTATTATTAATATGTTATGACGCCTGGCGCACATATCGCCTTGGGTCACGGGATAGTTGATAGATTTGCTGACATAAATAATTACAGACCAATATCAAATTTACCTATACGTTCAAAAATATTTGAAAATATTATTTACAAACAGCTCTATTCCTACCTTGTTAAACTCGACATACAAAGTCCCTGCCAATTTGGCTTCCGTTCCCAAAAGAGTACCAATGATGCCATTATTAGTTTGCTTAATATAATCTACTCAGCCCTTGACAAAAATGAGTTCCCAATTGGCCTCTTCATTGACCTGAGAAAGGCCTTTGATACTGTAAGCTATAACTACCTCTTAAACTTTACCACTATGGTGTTTGAGGCCTTGCTTTGAACTATAATCATTCCTATATTTACGGGCTCACCATAGCCCGTGCTACATGGACACTTCGTCCTGAGTAGCTAAATCTTTAACAACAACAACAACATTCCTATCTTGGTGACAGACACCAATATGTAGCCATCAATAACATAACCTTCCCCACTACCATTAACAGTAGGAGTGCCACAGGGCTGCATCCTAGCACCTCTCCTATTTCTTATATACTGTACATCAATGACATGCCAAATGTTTCTAATTTTCTTAAACTTATACTATTTGCTCATGATACTACCTTCATCTATTCTAACCCCAACCCCCCACACTAAATAATATTGTCAATAATGAATTTAAAAAAATCCACTCATGGATGTCAACCAACAAACTCACACTAAACATGGAAAAGACTTACTACATTTTATTTGGAAGTAAATCATCAAATCAAATTCAACTTCAGACAGACAATGTTAACATTAGCAATAAAAATGAGGGAAAGTTCCTTGGCCTATACATAGACAAGAGACTGAACTTCAGCACCCACATACAAGACATAGCAAAAAAAGTCTCAGAAATGGTTGGTATATTTTCTGAAATCAGATACTATATTATGTTCCCCACTCTGCTCTCCTCTTATTATACTATGTGCTAATCAATCCCTATCTTGCATACAGTATCTGTACATGGGGTTCAACCACTGCAAATTACCTCAAGCCAATCATGACTGCAAAAATCTGCTATCAGAACTATAACAAACTCTATCTTCATACGACACACAGCCCCTCTGTTTAAGTCCCTTAACATGCTAAACATACACTCACTCCACACATTCTCATGTACTATTTACATGTACAAAACCTTGTTCCTAAATGCTAATCTTGATCTGAAACTTTTCCTTCATAGGTGTAAAAGAATCCATGAGCACCACCAGAAATAAATATATCTTTGATATTCCCAGAGTCAAACTAAATCTGTACTAACACTCCATGCAAATAAAAGGACCCAGTTTTTGGAACTCGCTCCCTGATGATTTAAAAAATTGTCCAGCATATGCCCTATTCAAAAGTAAAATAAAAAGTACCTAATTTCATCCTCATAGTTTCCTACCTTGTGCTTCAAACTCGCACTGTACTGTATCTTGTACAACCCACTTCCTCAATATTAGTACATACTTCAGACATATAGTGGCACTTCCGCTCGCTGCTTGCTTGTCTTACTAAAAATCTGTCTATAGACACTTGTTTTTCCCCACGTTTTAACACTTGTCTGTATTGAGACATCACATTGCCTTACTATGAATGATCTCTTGTTTTTCCTCTGTCATCCTCACAAATATTTTTGTAGGTTGAACTTTACCACTGACTTTCTTGGAACCCATGGCACCCTTATATATAATAAGTTTTTATGTTCTGAATGCAAAAAAGCACAGAAACAATGAAATTCTTAACAAAGAATTCAAGCGCGGTCGTCACTAGGCAGGAGACACTGGTAAACTGAAGAGTGCCACACACACTCAGTCAGCCCATACGTGTATCAACAAACTTGAGTATCAAGTCAAATTTTTCGAAGAAACTGAGCTCGAGAACCGAAAAATTTGAACACTGAGGTTTCACTGTATATCTTTACCTGTGTAATCACCTCTGTCAATTTATATTGTCGTTATTTGTTGATATAAAACCTTGCTACAATGTACTTTTTCATCTTACCTGATATGTTAGATTAAGAACTGGCCCGAAACACTATGCATGTTAGTGGCTTTGCAAGAATGTACAAGTACCAATCTTTTGTAATCTCACCAACCCCCAACCCATTGTACCTTCTTGTGAATAAATTATTATATTACAGTATTATTATTGTTATTATAGATTTTGAATGTTTTCTGGCTGGTTCTTCAAGCGGGGCGACGGTGTCCGGCGCTGGCTTGGTTGAGAGGTGACGGGAGTTGGTTGGTCTTGGTGGACTCCTGGTGTGCCTCAGACGTGGTGGGCGGCTGGTTTGCTCCACCGGAGGGCACTGGATAACTTTGCGTTTTAATTGGGGGGGCCGAGTTTTTTATTTTGCTACCCAGTGTTCTCTGTGTGGGGTGGATCCAGTGCTTGTCACCCTGAGGGACTCCTGGGGCTCCGCAATCATCTGCCTGTCTGTGCGTTTATTTGCCATGAGGCACATTGAACTTGAACTTAGTTTCCGTTGTTAAGCGACACTTAGTTTGCCATTAGGCTTCACGATTAACCCTTCACGGGTACGCCAGGGCGCATCCGATCCCACGATTGTCGCTGCCCTTAAATCAACAACACCTTAGAGATCCATTTTCATCCAAATCCATTTAAAAATTAAATCCATTTAGGATTTACATTCCTTATTTAACATTGACACGTAGTGGACGTCTGGCTCCTGTTTTACCTGTGGGTCGCTGGAAAACGTATTGTAATTTCTGGCCATTGGGCATTTATTTAACAGCCAGATCTGTTATGACATCATGCACACATATTGCCTTGGGTCATAGGAAAGTTGATAGATTGTTCCGTTTTCTAGTAAGATCTTAGGGCCTGGAGTCGACGGGCCCTGGTGTGCCGTTTGGACGTAGTAGGCATATTTCATGTAAGGCTGTCCTGTGTGTGTGTGTGTGTGAGGTACAGTACCTGACCTGTTTAGAGTTGCCAGGTGTGCACGAGGTGGCTAACTGCTGCAAGGCAAATTGATTTTACCATTTGGGTTTGTCCTTTTTTTTCTTTTTTTTAATTCTTATTTTAGATTATCTTCTGGGAACCAGTTCAGCAGGGGGCATACAACTTGCTGTAATTCCATTGTTGGCCTTGTCTTTAAAACAGCAACACCTTGGCATTGGGTGGAGATAACTTTTGCAAATTACACCTACAGTATTGCAAAGGAGGAAGATAACAACATGTTAAGGACACAGTTTGCCATTTGCAAGTGTTTCTTCACAAACAACATATTCATAAAAGAATATAATATGCATGTAACGTACCAAGGCAGAGAGCAGTTTTTACATGATTATTCAGAGGTAAGTGAAGTTAGAATTAGCCAAAATTTACTTTAAAAATTGACATCAATATAAGATTTTAGATAGGAAACTTGTGTTATATGTATTCAATCGATATATGTACCTGCTGACAAGTTTAATTATATGCCTATGTAACTTCTATCTTATGCTCATTGTGAACCCACCATCATTCTTGGTGACTGCAGTGCTAAGCACAAATTATTAATTTCCACTTCAATAATAGGAATATAAAACAAATAATATTATTTCTAAATACCACACTACTATAGCCACCTTTCAGTAAGGACAGAACAAGAGCAGGCGGGATATTGCTGTATATGAAAGAGGACCTGAATGCAACCACCAGTGAGGAATTAAATGCCATGGGATCCTCAGGCTGTATGGTGCAACATACTAGCTCGATGGTAGCAAATGAACAGTGGAAGTTTGTTACAGGGCTGAGGAAGTTGCTGATCTGCATTATGTGATCAATGTGACATCAGAAACCCAAACTCTTATAATGGAGGGACAATAACTATGAGACCAGAGATTGGGTAAATCTGACATCACTAACAGAAGGAGAATTTCTAGACCTGATAAAGGACTCCTTTCTCATACAGTATGTGGCAGAGCCCACACACACACTAATAACACTCTAGATCTTGTACTAACATCAGAAGAGGGAATGATTGATTAAATTCAGGCAGGGGGAAAAGCTCATGCTCTCATGTGATCACAAGATTCTAAGATGGATTATAATTATAGAAAGCCACATAAAGGTCCATGATGATGACCTTGATTACCCTCCTTTCTAGATTATTACACCTGGAGGGAGCTGATAGGTTACCATGGCATGGAAGCATCAAGGAAAAATTTCATGGTGATCATCATTTAACTCTTTGAAAATATGCGCTAAAATGGAGAAGGAAAAAAAGAAACTAGAAGTATGACACGGGTAGTAAAAAGAGCTTTGATAATTAAGTGGAACCTCTGGAGAATGTTCAAATTCACAATGAACATCATTGATTATGAGATATAAAAGAGCATTAAATTCAGTCGCCCAGGAAATCAGATCAGCTAAAAAAATACAAAAGAAACTTTCCCAAAACATAAAGAAAAATCCAAAATCTTTCTCCAGGTATGCTTCTATGCCTATACAGTATAAGAAGTAAAACTAAAACAAAGGACTCTGTAGGACCCTTAAAAGATGAGACCAACCAAGCTATAGTGGACGATAAAAGAGCAGCAAATGCTCTGAAGGAAAACTTTACATCAGTGTTCACACTAGAAAAATTAGATGACATTCCATTACCCACACAAATGTTTGGAGGCAAGGAGAACAAAGTAAGGGGTATACCCATAACATGCACCATAATCAGGAAGAGCATTGACAAAATAAAAGACTCAAAGGCCCCAGATGTGGATGGAATTGAATCCAAAGTCATAAAGAAACTAGCAGATGAACTATGCCAACCACTGAAACTCCTTTTCAGAAAATCTCTGGACCAAGGGATAGTTCCCCTAGATTTGAAATATGCAGATGTTACCCTTATTTAAAAAAAGGCAAAAAGAACTTCAGAAAACTACCACCCAATCAGCTTGACCCAACACATCTGCAAGCTTGTGGAAAGAATCTTAAGAAGGAAATCGTTCACCATCTCACAGTGAACAATCTTGTAAAATCAATGCAACATGGGATTGTTAAAACTAGATCCTGCCTCACAAAACTTTTCACATTTTTGTAAAGTCACCAGCTACTCAGAAAAGGACTTCCAGTAACTGAAAGATAGATGGATACATGGAGTTTACTAAAGCCTTTAATAAGGTGCCACATGAAAGACTAGCAAGGAAATTTCAGGCACATAGAATAAATGGCAGAATACTAGAATGGTTAAAACAAAGGGTTGTGCTAAACGGGAAGGAATCTGACTGGAGAAATGTAGTGAGTGTGGTACCACAGGGCTCCATTATGGGACCAACCCTTCTTGTCATATATATGTATACAGCAATGACATGAGAATACAGTGCTGTACGTATTACAAATCACATCATCAAATTTGCAGATGACACTTAAGATTTATGGCAAAGTGGAAAATGAAAATGATATTAAAGCCTTTCAAAAATATCTACATGAACTTCACAAATGCTAAGAAGACTGGCAAATACTTTTTAATATTCAAAAATGTAAGACCTTACTTGTGGGGCATAACAACCCACGTCACAACTACCAAATTAATAACATTACCTGTCAGCAGATTGATGAAGAACAGGATCTTAGAGTCTGGATCCATCATGCACTGAAAGTGGCACAACAGATGCAACTTTTATAATGGTTATAAACCTATGAAAATGCCTATTCACCAAAGCCATAAATGGCAAGACTGCTGAACTTCAAAATCTAGCTTGAAAAGCATCCTCAGGACAAATGGGGGGACCTTTGACAAGCTGCTGGCTTTCTTGTCAAAACCACTATAGTGTTAGTGACCTTCAGGTAAATTCAGGCAAATAGTCATGAGAATGTGCAGTGTGGGGTTGGCTTTAAAGTTATTTTCTTTAAGATTGGAATAAATAATATAAATATTACATCAGTGGCTAGATTGTACTGTGCACCAGGCATCTGTGAGATGCCTGGTGCACAGTATGATGCACCATGCCTGGATCTCCAGGTACTGTACTATAGTATGTGGCTCATTTTTAACCCTTTTTCTGTGCTACTCAAAACTGTATGAATGACAAAACATAGTTGTTGCTGCAATACTATTTTCCATAGGTAACTTAAAGATATTATTTTAATTTTGTTACATTTGACCAAACATTTTATCTTTAGAACAGGAATTTGAACTTGGTGAATGCTTCCATTTGGTGACAGGAAGATAAAGTTACCCTTTACCATAGCTCAAAATTATACCAAGAATACCTCCCTCTATTCCCCACATTCACACCTCACACCTATTTCTACATAAACTATAGTACAGTCTGGGTATATTGTTTTGCAGCAGATATCATGACATGATGAAGATTTTTTACTGATAAAAATATGTTATGTGTAAAATACTGGTTCCTTATTGGGCTTCACAGGTGGAGCTGCTTTGTTTTGGCTTCAACCTATATTTCTTTAGCAGTCATGGTAGAGTAGCAACCGTGTTCCAAGAAAGAAATGCTAGAGATGTAATGCTGGTAATTATCAGGAGAAAGCACAAAGTCATTATGACTATACAGCACTTGGAAAGGATGTGAGGATAAGGATTTAGGACAGGACGGAGGAAAGGAATGGTGCCTAACCACTTGGACCGGATGGTAGAGCGACACTCTTGCTTCTTGCAGGTTAGCGTTCAATCCTATGTCATCCATCCAAGTAATTGGGCACTAGCATCGAGTGAAATAAAATGCCCCGCTTTCCTCCTTTAATTTTTGTCTTTCCAAGTTCACATAGGTGAGGGGGGCTTAAATTTGGAATGTCCACATCTCTCTCTCAACTCTCTGGTCAGTGGGGGATGGTACCTGATGGTGGCCATGGCATTTGATAGTAGGTGCTTTAGAATTTGGAATGATTCTTGGCAATTTCAGAGTTATTAGGATTCATTTGGAGAGAGTTGGATTACTTGTAACATCTGTCAGCGAGCTGTTTTTGTTTGTAGAGTAATGCTTTCCACGGGGCTCCCTGTTTCTTAGGGGACAAATAGTTTACAAGAATACTCATCCACAATGGATGTAAAGTTACCTAGTAATCTGACAAATTCATAACGTCCTGTTGTGGTTAGTGCCAAGGCTAAAGAGAGCTACTACAGAAGGGCATTTTAGAAGGTTGTGGTTTCATTCACTTTTCACTCTATTTGGGCAGGTTTTGCAGTCTAAAGGATGCCACAACCTGGAGTTGCTTCTTCCTAAGGTCAGTTTTTTCATGATATTTACCACATTTAGTGTAAGTACTGTATTAAGATTTATTATGTACCTTATCACCTGTAATTACTTCATTCATTCTGCATTGATCATTCATGAAATTCAGTACTGAACAATTATTTTTGTATTTATTACCTCTGTACCCATCCCTACATCACCAGCAGTGTTGGGTACGAAAGTATAATTAATTGTCTCATCCTCCCGTAATGAGAGCACTGTACTTATGGCAACTATTTGGTCTAACGTACAAAAATGGATTGTTGGACCCCAAAAAGTCAACATTTTGTATTACTGAATTAGCCCTAATGACATTCTAAAATGGAAAAGTAACTAAAGTGCCCAACCTAATCTGTCCAAGGTATAAATAAGCAATACAGTATATGCTATACTGTATTAAGTCTAATATAGTGCAGAGATATGATATTCTAGGCCAAGAATTTTTTTTTGGCGCCCCTCTACAAAATTAATAATACAAAACATGAACATTGTTGGCTGCAACTATCCACTTTTTTTTATTTTTAACCAAATAACTAGTATAAGTATTATCATTTTAGGAGGATGGGTTGAATAAATCAAACTAATCCAGCACTAAGCAAATACCTTTGGATGGTATTTTATTGGGAAACTATGTCATAGGAAAGAAATCACCGTTTTTACCATGATCTCTCACAACAAGCACATAATATTCCCAAGGATATGATAGAAAAGTTACTGGGTAATATAAAATTATACATAATGGTGAAGCCATGTAAAATGAATGCTGAAGGAGGGAATGGCCACTATGATACACAGTGTTTTGTTGGCCGTGAGTTCAAGAGGCAGTCCTTAGAATATCTGGGCAGTTGTGTGGTGCATGAGATACAAGGGATGACTAATGCAGAAAGAATTGCTTGAAGAATGGTTGTGGATCATACACAGTGAACAAACCAAACACTAGAAATTGAAGAGATGACAACGTTTCAGTCCGTTCTGGACTATTATCAAGTCGATTGAGACAATCAATTTGATAATGATCCAGGATGGACTGAAACATCGTCATCTCTTCAATTTCTAGTATGTGGTTTGCTCAACATTTTTCAGTCACGTTATTGTGACTTTTCATCTGCATACACAGTGAAGTTGTTTCTTTGGTAGTAGATGAGAGCAAACTAAACAAAAAAGTACACACTTCACTTAATGAATCAGTCAAGTGAGGAAAGTGAATAATGATTTATCACTACCAGTGTAGAAGTTGTTCACTTTAACTCACCGTTTTTAAATTAAGATTACATGAAAGTGATGAGGGACCACTCCGTCTTTCATTCACTCTATTTGCTACTTGAAATAAGTAAGGAAATGAATAGAAAAGTTGATAATAAGTCATATTTTGTTTTCAGTTGGAAGCAGAATCTTTGAGGCGCAAGCATCTTCACGATAACAGTTGGAAACGTCAGTTGAAAGTGTCTAAAGAATATAAGCCTATGCATCCACAAATATTTACATTACAGGTGTGTAGATAAACCTCATTATATTAATGACTAGAATTTCCATTCCTTATCACTTTGTAATATCCTAACATTCCTTAGTACTTCTTCCATCTGTTTAGCACCATTTAGGGCGATCCTCAAGGGTCAGTCTTTTCCTTTTTCGTACCTGCGAATTCTCCTGTAGTCACAGACATTCTTTTTTGGTCGTAAGACCTTCCACTACCCCTACAATTTTATCTACTACTTTTGCTTCTTCTACAGATCTTTCTGACCTAAATGTTATCTCATTTTCTTTGCAACCAAAAATTAATAGGGACTTTGATCGACTGTGTTTTGCACCAATTTCCGGTTTGATGCCAGTTTCTTTCTGACTTGCAGCCTAATGTTTGTTGGTTGTTCCAGCCAAACACTGCAGCAACTATCCTGGTTGCTGCAGTGTTTGGCTTCCTTTGCTGCTTCTTCTATTTTTTTCCTTCTCCTTGGCCACTTGAGCATAGGTGAGTTGCATATCTTTCTTGCACTGTTCTATTCCCTTTGTAACTTCCTCCATCTGTACTGTCAAAAGCTGTTCTTCCTGTTGGATTTTCTTACCTAACCTATTGTAGTCTTTATGTTTAAATTTGCTTTAACCTCTTCCAAAGCTATTTTCAAGAGTTTAATGTCATCTTCATGGCTTTGCATTTAGTTTCCCCAATTTATTCTTGTCCTTGCAAAATTCTTTCACTATTCCTTCAAGATCTGATACTTTGCTTCTCAAGTGGTCATCACTTTCTCTCAATTTACTGATTATTTCTACATGATAGTTGACAGTAATGTCCAATTCTCCCAACTTGTTGTGTAGACTGTTTAATTAATACTTTCCTTATTGAATCCACCAAAATCTAGCTCTGATTTGTTTTTCTGCTTGCCGGTGGCCGTCTTGAATTTTGTTGTCTGCAATGTTTACACTATACAACTTTTGCTCATCCACATATTTTCCTTCCCCCCCCCCCCTCTTGGCACATTCATGTTATCTCACCTACTTTTCAAATAATTTACACTACACCTTTATGTTTCTTGGGACACCACTCATGGTCATCAACCTGTTCTACAATAATTAGGAATTTTAAATATCCTGGAGAGCCTCTGATGCAGGTGTTGACTTTGTTATATTTTTATATTTTTATTATTATTATAATTATTATAATAATAATAACAATACTGTAATATAATGTGTGTACAACCTTAATACAGTAATTTTTGTATATCACAGTAAGTAGAGTTTTAGTTTTACCCTTAAGTATTAATGTAGTATAATCACTCTCTTACAGCCATCATTCTTGGCTCCCAGGTTTCATGAAATAGTCAAATGCAGTCAAGAGGACAAGCAAACACTTGAGGGCATTGCCAGTTGCATCGAAAGTCACCAGAACCGTATTTATTCCTTCCCTGTGTTCACTGAAGAATTTTGTCAACTTTTTCTTGAAGAGATAAGAAATTTTGAAGAGTCCCCACTTCCAAAAGGTCGTCCTAATACCATGAATCAGTATGGGGTATGTAATGAATATGTATAGTAGCTGCATTTTGAAAAACTCTTTTCTTTTTACTTAAATTCATTTAGACAATACAGGAGGCCATTGCTATTTACAGGAGGTATATTCTTTAAATACTGTATGTGAATGGTAAAACCTCAAATAAAAATATTAAAGGTTATTTAACCATACAATATTTTGAAAATAATTGATTATGAAAATCAGTAGTAATAAATGAATATGTACATGAATGTGCATGGGAGTATGTGTGAACTTTACTAATTCTGCTAGTGAGGGCTGAGCTTTAGCTCTTTGGACTCAATTTTCAATCTTGAATCGATTGCTGTACAGATTCATCAGCCTATTGAACTTGGCTTCTTAGTGCATTTCATTTGTTCCTACTCAGACATTAAAAAACAAACTTGTATTTTAAATATCTTTGCGGTTCATTTGAATACAGTAGAACTTCGATTCGGTTAATCTCTGGTTAGAACACACACTTTCCATGCTGGATTTAGTGACCTGACACTTGATTTGACAAACAAAAAGCGAGGAATATGTGGATTTACTTAAGATGTTTGTAACGAGTTCACAGATGAAGGCAACATTACAACAAATATAGTAGTTGGGGCCTTGGGGAAGTCACTGAGCATATTTAAAACCATATTCTGTAGTTCTTTCTTATTTCCAGTTGCAGAGGTTTACATTCAGTAAAACATGGGAAATATGCTAGATGTGGTTAAATCAATTTACAGACAGGTTCTCTTGGTTGTTGCCCTTCATATGAGAGGTTAAAATTATAATTTCACTGAGTAAAATCGGCCCTAAGATCATGGTAAATGTTAGGGGTATGAATGGTAGCTCCCTTAATATGGCTCCAGTTATGTTTTTGATGTTTTTTATAGTTGACTTAGTATTACAAGAAACAGTTGGAGACTTAGGAAAGCTATTGAGGATTTAAAACCAAATTCTATACAGTAGTTTGTTTTCATTTTGAGCTGGCAAGGTTTTTGTTCACTCAGGTATTGCCTTGCTCACTGTTTGAAAATGAGTTTTGAGGCTGGGGACATGAGAAATAAGCTAGATGTGGTTAAATGTTTTTGTAGTCATTTCATTTGATAATTGTCTATTATATTATTGACCGAAATGAAAATGTTGCTAAGTGAAATTAGCCATAGGGCATGAGAAGTGCATCCTGGAGGCATCTCTGGTTGCAACGAATCCCTCACTGCAACAAGTTGATCCAATATACAGTGGTACCTCGGAATGCGATTGTCCCTGTATGCGAGGTTTTCGGAAGGCGAGGTGTATTTACTCCAAAAATTTGTCTCAGAAGGCGAGGGTTACTTCGGGAGGCGAGTTTGGACGCGAGTTTGTTGATACGCGTACAGCCGACCTAGCGCGTTCGTCGCCCCTCCGCCCCGCCGCCCCTCAGTTTATTATTGTCTGGCGCTCAGTGACTACCCCCACATCAATTCTTCTCGCGGATTTTCAGTGTTTTGTTGGATTTTTGGTGATTTGTCTATACAATTTGTTATTATATATCTCACCATGGGTCCCAAGAAAGCCAGTGGTAAGGATAAAGGCCAGAAAGCTCCTGTGAGGATGACAATAGAGGAGAAACAAGAGATCATTCGGAAGCATGAGAACGGTACACGTGTTGTTGAACTTTGTAGGCAGTACAACAAAGCCACATCAACAATATGCACTATACTTAAGAAGAAAAATAAGATTATGGGTGCTAAAGTGGCAAAAGGAGTAAGAACATTAACGGCACAAAGACCACAAATACTTGAAGAAGTGGAAAAGTTGTTATTAATTTGGATACACGACAAGGAGTTGAGGGGTGATAGTGTTTCGGAGGCCATTATTTGTGAGAAAGCCAGGGTGTTGCACGAAGACCTTCTAAAGAATACCCCTGCAACGAGTGATGCAGATAAGAAAGAGTTTAAGGCAAGCAGGGGCTGGTTTGAAAAATTTAGAAAGAGAAGTGGTATCCATAGTGTTACAAGGCATGGGGTTATGTGATGTGATTATGGAAGGGGACTCCCCTTCCAAACAGTAACTCCTCTCCTCCTCCCCCCTCCTCACCATCTTCCATACGCCTACAGCACTCGACAGCAAGGTAAGTAATAACTGGAACACAGTTTTGTAGGTTTATTTAGATGAATTAGGTAAATTAGGTATAAAAATTTAGTTTGATGTGGGGTTTTTGGGGTAGTCAGGAACGGATTAATTCATTTCCCTTTATTTCTTATGGGGAAATTAACTTCGGAATGCGAGTTTTCGGAAGGCGAGGCGTCTCCAGGAACGGATTAAACTCTTATTCTGAGGTATGCCTGTAGTTTGTTGATTTGAGGTTGTACTGTACTTGGTTTCAACCATATGTCCAGTTATTGGTGTACCTCCTATTCCAAGTGATCAGTCCTTATCTGCTTATTCACCCTGAGAATTTGTTGGGGCAATCTAGTTTTCCTGTTTCTTCTGTCTTCCATGGAGGTAAGGTTTAGTTTCTTTATTTGTTTCTTTAATCTTTTCTCGTAGCTCATACCTCTCAGTTTTAGCACTAGTTTGGTGGCATAGCTCTGGACTTTATCCTGCTTCGTTTGTATTTGACGAGATAAGGACTCAACGTTGATGCCTCATATTTAGGAATTGTTCTGACATATATGGTAGAAAAAGCCCTGAATGACCCCATAAGAGTTCCAAAGGCAGTTCATATGTTGATCAATCGAGTATATGTCACTGATATTTGGATATTTATTTAATGTGCAATTCAAGAGGCAGGTTCAGTTGTAGGACAAGATCATGCCTATCCTATTTTCTTAGATTTTGTGGGTCACTGCTGTTTAAAAAAAAAAGTTGGGCAGACTTCATTTATCTGAACATAAGACAGACATTTGATAAAATACAATATAAAAGATTTTCCTGTAAACTATAACACAGGGAGAGTAATGGGAAGGCATCTAGTTAGAGGAGAATATTTCTGGTAGGCTAAAAAAAAAGAATAGATGTGATTAAAGGCAATAAATGAGGCTGGAGAATATCACCAGCGGGGTCATACTGGGCTTGATACTAGCTATGGTATAGGTTGGTAATATGAACATGGTAATGTTCTTTATATACATGAATAATTTACCTGCAGGAATATGGAGTTTTATGTTTCAGATGTTAAGCTCTTTATTCTTCCCAGTAGACTCACATTGGTATCCTAGCTCTTACAAGATCAATCATTAACTATATAAACTCTCATCTAGATTGGTCAAAATTAAATCCCCTTATATGGAACCAAAAGTCTACTTTACTAAATTTATAATTCTTTTCATCATCACTTAATATCATCACTTACCTTTTCAGATTAATTTAGATGAACTTGGGTTTGACAGTCTTATATCAAATCTTCGTACAACATACATCACACCACTTACAAGATTGCTCTTCCCAGACGTGGGAGGTGATTCTCTAGACTCTCATAAGGCATTCATTGTCACTTACAAAGAAGGTGAAGATGTGGATCTGGATTACCACTTTGACAATGCAGAGGTGATTATTAATATTCTAAACGCTTTTCTGTGGGGAACCCCTACAGTTCCCCGGAGCTTACCGGGCTGATATGTATGTATAAGACCATGGCATCAATTGATGGAGTACTTGCCTACTGGGCACCACGAACCAGAATCTGGCCCCCCTCAGAGAGGCATGAGGAGCAATGGCCTATGGAAACCCCAGTAGGTTTGGAAGCATTCCGTGTCTGCCATCGACTGAGGTTTGGCACCCTTGTGGCTTACCTCCTGTGAGACCCGGATTATGCCTCAATAATATATTCCTCTTTTGGGTTTGGCTCCTCTTTTTCTTGAGTGCGTTATGAGGTGCCAGAGTCTTCCTGGCTGGCAGGTTCCCTTTCCTTTCATGGGGAGGGGGGGGTGAGGTATGTGTTCTGTCGGACCTGCACGCTTGAATGGTGGGAGTTGACTACAGTCATTCAGGTTTACCTGGGGGGCAAGTTTGAGCACCTCAATGTGTGCTTGTTTGCCTCCGTGCTTCCTCGTGATATCGGCGAGGTGCAGCTTCACGTGCAGGTTCCCCTCCCTTTCGGTGTCCCTGGTGGCCGAGGATTTGCGCATCCGTGGGCATTTGGCTTCGGTCTTGCGTTTCTTTTTCCTGGTGAAGCTGTCTTCGGACTGGCTTGAAGAGGATGTGGAGGAGCTAGATTCCAGGCCGGTGTTCAGTGCGCTTGCCTCAGCAGCTCGGGCAATGGCTGCCTTGTTGTTGTATGTGTCGATTCTGAATAAAGCGGAGTCTCTGTTCTTTGCTTCCCGACTGACCCTTTCCCAACTGCGAGGCATTCACAGTAGATGCAGAATTGGTCGAGGTGGAGTTCCTTGTACCTCTTCCACCCGGTCCAGCTTTTACCTTGTGTCCTGGCTCAGTTGGAGACTTACTAGGGGAGAGTAGTCCTGTTGGCTCCTTGGTGGCCAGCCCAGCCTTGGTTTCAGGTGCTGCTTGCTTGGTGTCAAACCCCACGATGTTTTCCACAGCTCCGCCTCTTTCAGCAGATTGGCCCGGGCAGGTACCTGGCTGGTTCGGTCTTCTCCTCCGCACTTCGTGTCATATCACCACTTGTATGGTGATCAGGTGGCTTCGTTGATGGTGTCCCACCTGCGAGCTTAGTTTTGAAGTTATATGAAGTTTCCTGGTGTTCTTTTCGCCATTTTCTCTCCTTAAGTTGTCCTCTATTTCGGATAACGTTGTCTTATCCTTTCTTTCTTAGCTTTTTCAGGACTGTTATTTGATGCCTGATGCTGACCCCTTGTATTGTCCTGCGTTGGCGGAGCCTGCTTCAGCTTGTGTTCGGCTGTATGTTACTTCCGCTCCGTTCTGTAAGTTTTCCCGTCCTTTGTTTCATCTCCGGCTTGCTCATGCGCTGTCTGAGCCATCCTGGTTCTTGGACAGGGTGCTCTCCTTTCTCTTCTCCTCGGTTTGTGGTGGCTCCTTTGGCTCAAGATTGTTTTACAAGGCTTTTTTCCTATTGTCATTGGCTTCTGGGGGTCAGGTCGAGGAGCTTCATGCTCTTCTCCAGCACAGGTTTCTGCTCTTTCGGTCCTGGCAGTAGGTTTGTTTGTTTGCAGCCGTTTCCTTTTCTGGCGAAGAATGAGTCGGCGGCTTTCCAGAGGGGTCCTTGGGTCATAGATGGTTGGTTGGTCAGGGCGGAGGTATATCATGTGTTGTGTCTGGTTGGGGCTCTTCGCCGTTACCTGCATGCCATTGCCTCCGTGGCCGGGAATGCACTTTGGGTTGCCCCTTTTTTCCTTGTTCCCTGTTCCAGGGCTCCAGTCTTCCAGGTCGTCCACAGGGTTATTCGGTCCAGAGAGCCTGCGGTCTATTCCCGTGCCCATGACAGTCATATGTTTGCTGCTTTGGCTGCCATCTTTGGTAACATATCTTGGGCTGACATTTGGGCACGGGGATTTTGGAGGTCGAACAGAGTCCTGGTCGCGCGGTTCTTAGTCATTGTTCCTGGCCCTAATCGGGTGTGTGTGTCGCTTTGGGTTGCAGGTTGCAGCCAGTTGTCTCGACTTTGAGTTGAGGCGCGTAATGGTAGCCATCTCTCAGGTAAGTCCTTGTCACTTTTCTTTGTTTAGGTATCTCCGGGGAGCCGTAGGGGCTCCCCACAGAAAACCAGCGTTGAATGTAATGAAACGCCATTTTCTGGGTGAGCTCCCGAGGCTCCCCGGCACCCTCCCTCCTTCAGGTCGGTGTTTTCACACTCTTTTTGATGCTCAGCCTCAGAACTGAATGCTGTAGTAGCCAGTGCACGGGGTCCAGGGGCCCCTTCCCTCTACGGGGCGGCTGCATGGACGATCGGCGCAATGGAGTTAGTGACATTTGATTGTTTGCTTGTTTTAGTTTGGGAGCTCTTCGGTTTTTAGGTAGCTAAAATAGTTAGTTTTTACCATGTGGGTTTGGTTTTGTTACGCCTACCTTTCTGGGTGCCAAACCCCAGTCGATGGCAGACATGGAATGCTTCCAAACACATGGGGGTTTCCATGATCCATTGCTCGTCATGCCTCTCTGAGGGGCCAGGTTCTGGCTCGTGGTCCCCGGTAGGCAAGAACTCCATCGACTGATGCCACAATCTAATACTATTCATACATATCAGCCCGGTAAGCTCCTGGGGGAGCCTCCAGGGCTCACCCAGAAAATGGCGTTTCATTACATTCAACGTTAGTTTTTATAGTACATTTATATGAATGTTTTGACTATTGTACTGTTTGTTTCCATGTATAATTTATACTTTGTGAAGGTGATTATGTTTAGATGTTAGCAATGAAAGTAAGTACTGTATATAGATAGGGTAATGGTACTGTAATATATAAAGACATTTTTAATGTCCTAGGTAACTCTCAATGTTTCCCTAAATGAAGACTACAGTGATGGAGACCTTTACTTTGGACCAATGAGGACTGAAATTTCTAATCAACGATTTGGTTACACTCACAAGCTAGGCAAAGGATTATTGCATCGTGGCCAACAACTTCATGGTGCACTGCCCATCTCGGATGGTGTTCGGTAAGAGTGGGAGGCTTTCTGCATTCCAAATTCTGCAGCAGAGCATTTGTAACAGTTTCACATGTTTTATATTTCCTCAAGTCTCCATATCTTATTGTTGCACCAACCATTTAGTTTCATAACAAAGAGCATACTCTACATAAGTTGGTTCATTGATGATGGGGACAGCATGTGATGGTAGTGGTCTAGTTCACAAGATCACTGTGAAATGGGGGAAATGACAGTGAAGTACTGTACTAAATTCTTTGATTAGCAATACAGACATGTTAAAGAATTTGATTAAATTTAGGACTTTGGCATAAAAACAGTGAACGGTCTTTGTGGAGACCGATAACAAATTAACATACGTTATTTAAACATGTACAGTATATACAGTATATACAAAAAAATTGGTTTTGTACTTTTTTTGGTAAGAAAAGGGAAAATCTTTGGCAATAACAAAAATATGCAAAAAAAACTTGATACAATTGAAACCTTGAAAGTATCATGTACAAATTCCAACATTAGGTGCATTTAGACCCAGGTGTGGCCGATGTAACTATAGCAGTCAACAAACTGTACCTTGCTACTAGTTTTATTTTACATATTAATTTTACAATATTTTTCTTTTGGCAGATATAATCTTATTGTATGGATGCGGTCATCTCAAGTCAGAAATGAACTGTGTCCAATGTGTGATGAAAAGCCAATTCTAGTCCCTGTGAAGCATGGGTATGGAGATGGATTTATTGTCAATACTGCAGATGTTTGCTCCACTTTCTAGGGCTCAAAGTTTTCCAAAATGTAAACTAACCTAGTAAATAAGTACACTGGCTCTACCCTTCATATATAGGAATACTGTATCTTCCAATATTTTCATAGATACTTGCATGCCCATTAAGTGCTACATATGTGTTCAAACATTATGTTGTGACCAAAAACAGTGCTCCATTGGTTTTTATAGAAGAATTGTGATATTCTTGAATGTTATCATTATAAAAAGAAGCATTTTGCAAAGTAATATAGTAGTACCTCTTATCCAAATTTATAAGGACCAAGGAAATTTCAGAGAACTAATATTTCTGCTATTTGGACAACTCCTAGGCCACAATCCAATTTACCTAATACAGTTAAGCATCTCAACTGTGAAGATGCAAAATTGAAAGAAATTCAAAATAATGTACACTACTTGTATAAAAATGCAAAACATTGCTAGAAATCTTTATGCCATGTTGTTACTCTTATAATGGTCAGAAAAAATAATTTTAAGAGAACGTTTGTCCTCATCAATCCCCCCCCCCCCCCCCCCCCCCATGTATGCAGTGCCTTTTAAAGTTATCTCATATTGGAAAGTACTTTAAATATATACTGCACTAATGATTTTTAATGCACTGTATATATTACATTTTCTTTACAACTAAATAATAAAAACAATTAACTGGGTAAATAAAATGATTTTTAAAAGCAATACCATGTTAAGATAGCATTGGAAGCTACAGGCACAGTATATAATATCCAAAATTGCCAGTGGGTTCAGACCCAGCCACTTCTGATTTAGGTGTTCGCATTAGATGCTTAGATACCTATACTTTACTATCAAATAAAGTACAGTATTAAATCATTGTTATGATGTTTCGGTCACTATGGCCCAGTAACCGGGTTCTTGATGGATTAACCTCGTTTAGTGTATACGACCCCAAGTCAGTAGTATGTTTTCAAGAATTGGCTATATAGTGCAATAAGAAAAGGGGTGATGAACAACACACACAGTTCCCTTCACCAATATACAATATTTTCACTTTCAACATTAAAATATAATAAATAGATTATTACTACACTTATTTACAGTGATGTCACTTTCACACAGGACACCAAAAGCGCTCGCATGCAATGTTCGCCAACCCCAGTACTTCGTCCACTCGTACTGGAAAATACTGGCGAGTTCACCTTTTAAGTGGGCCAGCCCACCAACACAGTATCACGAGGTGCCTATACCCCACTATCACTCTCCAGCCACTCGCTGGCAGAGGACTTAAGCCACACACTGATCAGGGTCACTAACAACCACATACAAGGGTAGCTAATTCCTGGCAGAAGCCTCTAGGAACATGCTAGCAGCACTTCACCACAGGCACCTCACTGTCGTCCGTTACTCTCATAAGCCAATCCCAGGGTATGCCGATCTGTATCAACACTGCGAAAATTAGCAGCTAACACACTGCTCAGATCGGCGGCTGCTTACTAATCGTCTTCCAGGACCAAGCTGAGAGTATGTGAACTGCCCAAGGTAAACTGCCTTCCTCCTGGCGATTGCCTCCACACGTCACCTCTGTGGACAAAAACGTTATCAGTTACATGGACTGTACACTGGGGAAACCATGAGGTAACACTCATTCACCTGGGAGTTGACATTATGCTCCGTAGCACAACAGATGGCGCTGATCTTGATACTCCCACCACCAGAGGTCAACCACAACGACCTCTCTTGCTAACCAGGGCAGGAAACAGAAGCCATTGATCGCTGCCACGCCACCACCAATAGATGGCGTGATTTACATAGTATCCAATATCAGGGGGTTGGAGTGCAGACCCATAGATGGCGCTGGAATTGCCACTCTGTACTCCGACGAAGGTAACAAGACCGTAACATATGATATTTTCAGTTTTCATGGTATGAAGAGACATTAATCTAAAGAAAACTGGGAAGCAGAATCAGAAAATGAAGCTAAAAAATATTATAAACAACACACACATTGAACTCCAACAAATCATCCACAATGGTGGATGATATGTTGTACTAGACTAGTACTCCTTGTGAGTTAAATACAGTACTGTACATACAAAATGCATTACCTTTTGATAACCTACAGCCACCTAGCTTTGTTCTCTACTATATCCTGTGTACAATTCATGCTCATTCCTCACACACTCATTCACAATTTCTAGCCCCATCTCCTCAGCTTCTGTTCCTTCCCTTGAAGCTCACCTGTTTATCATCCCATCATTCGGCATTATCAAACCACTTCAGTATCTTCTCTTATTATTTCTGTACTGTCTTTTCATTCCTTATCTTGTATATCAGTAATACACCTATATTTTCTTGCGTTGAATGGATGATCTTTATGGCAGGTGACCATATTGAACATTTTTAAACTCCTGTATAAAGATTTGTATATAAGAGGTTAATGTATGGGATGAAGATGTTTGGGTGAAATCTTACATGCCAGTTGGGTAGAAAGAGAGCCAATATATTATGTGGCCTGAGGATGCATAAGATTCCCTTGTGGAGAATGCACAGGATAGGCAGGCGCCCAAGATAGTTATGAAATATATACTGTATTGATTTTTCTGTTTTACATTCTGTAAATGTTTTCACAATTAGACATTTACATGATATTTGCTTGAGTCTGTATCTGTAGATGACTCTTAATTATATACTGAAGTAATATACTGGAACAAATCATAGGTTGTTTTCTTTATCCATGTACAAAATAGCATTTTTCATTATTGTTTATTCACTTCAATTTTCTGATTAACTGAATGAAATCACAAGAGTAACCTTTATAAAGGCAATACCAAACAATTAAGACAAAATATAAACACTTTATTGAAATATTATGACCATTGAAGATATGGGTTATGGTGGATGTTAGGAAAGTCCTTTGTGGAGACATGTGGCACCAGAAGTTTTTAAATAAGATGTTTAGCACTGACGGATTACTTTGATAGCAGTTGCAAATAATTTATCGAGAGACGACATCAGTGAAGAGAATGCAGAGTATAAGTTACACTGTGACTAATAAAATCTGAACTAAAGCAGTTTCTTGAGGTTCTGGAATTAATTAATATGTGCAACTTATTAAAAACTAACTTGTACTGTGAGGAGGTAATTTATTATTATTTGCCTTGCCAGGTGTGGTATATAGATCAATGAGGTTATTGGGTCATTGCTGTGAGTGGCATTGTTAGGACAGTCTAGTGGAAGATCAGCACATAATAACCTTGAGCCTTTTTTTTTTTTTTAACCAAAAAGGAGCAGGTGATAGAGCACATCAACACTAACTCAAAAATATATTAGTTCTACAAAAAGTGAATTGTGGATGCCAAGTTTACTTGTCAATAGATAAAACACATCTGGGCAAGCTTGACCCAACCCACAATATAGGACTGATTAAACATTGAGACCATCACATCTACACCAAACATAAGCTTATATACCAAGTCCTTTCATTCTGTCCCTTAATGCTAAGACAAAGATACTTCATAAGCATGCAGACACCATATATTAAATTGCTTTCTAATAAATTAAATACATCAAAAGAGAATAACACATTTGGACCTAGAACCAGAAATGACGTGTAGTTCGTCGGTGTACACCTTGAGGTACTGTACAGTATATTCTTTTAAATGCATTGAAATATGACCTTGAAAAATTACCCCTTTTACTATTTAGTAAAAATCTCACAAACACAAAGAAAACACTTATGAATTACATATATGATGTTATATTACATCATACAATTTTTTTCCTAAAACATAAGAAGTAACATTCAGAATCAAGTATATAGAATAACATTATAAATCGAATTTTCAGTGAATAAAGTAGTAAATACATTGAATGCACTAAGAATGTAGGTGGTGGAGGAAGACTTGATACAGTTTGAAATGTTGATAGATATTACTTAGAAAAATGTTTGTGGTCCTGAACACCAGTTGTTTGAAAGGTGAGAGGCGAGATTCAAGAGCATATTTTAACAAGTGCATATTGATCTAATCCTTAAAATATGGTAGAATTTGCTGTTCTCTATACAGGTAAGAAGCAAGGAAGACGTGTGATGTTGCAATTTCTGTACTGTATGTTCATAGCATAACTACATAATACTATTCACATTTAATTTATCAATAACATGACAACAATTACTGTACTCTACATTTTCAGACTCAAAACACATTTATAGTCCTCTGGAATTGCTGTATCTCTCATATCCCATAATAGTTGTAATAAAGAAATGAGATCAGAATCTCCATCAAGCAAAAAGTTGCTCTTCTACTGGATGCCAAGCAAAAACACCAACAAGTAGCACCTCGACTACTACTGTACACTGATTATCCTGTCATAGATATATCCCTAACAAACAAAATTGATCAGTGATGGAACAACCTTGCATAGAATAAAATCAAAAGAATAAAACTAAATTTCCATGGCCATCTTCCATCAGAAAAATTTGAAAGAAAAGTTGCAGTTAATTTGAGACTACAGAATAATACCTGGTCACCTAATGCAAGCTAGAAATGATATGCTATTCAGCAAAGATAATCCTCACAGTAGAACATATAGTATATGTTCTTCAGTGAGGTTCTATTGTGAAGGTGCAATGGTGGGTGAGGAATAGGTTTTATTTCCATTTTGTATGTCTATGCATAACCCTACTTTATCCTCCAAGGCTCATTTGGTGGACGATCAGACCCCTCTTTAAGTCCTGTTACAGCACACAGTCAACCAGGGCCAAGTTGTTTTCCTAAAGCAGGTGAATCAGTCTGACAGTTACCAATTAGCTACCTCCTAAATGAGTTAATATTATGGACAGTTCTGATTCTAACATTGAGAATACTTCTCACCAAACTGTGCTGGACTTCCTCTCATGCAACTGAACATACTCATCAACTGCTATAATTGTACCAGGAGAAAGAGCAATAAATAATCTTGTCTATCTTATAACAACCAAATATTTATATACCCCTTTATAAAGCATTGAAGTATCAAAATCAACCACACTGTATAAAGTCTAATACTGTAATGTAAATTTAAATTCTGGCTCCCCAAACATAGACTATTTCGACCAACTTTTTGAACGAAAATGCTGTTACTCATAATCTGAAACTCCATCACAGACTCCTCAAAGGGTCAACAATGTATAGGTACAAATGTTATTAAAGTAAATACAAAATTATTCAAAGATTAGAAATCTTATATTAAAATAAAAAACGTACATTTGAATTCATGTATAGGTGTCTCAATCCATTTGAGCCACCTGTGGTTGCCTCCATCTCCCCATCCTTTTGCCCATCTCCATGTACCATGCATGATTTGTGTTCACATGCATATGCCCATACATGATTTGTCCCCATCCACAGGAACCAATAATTTTTTGTGTCCCCCATCCATTTGAACCAATCATTATTTGTGTTCCCTATCTAAGCCACGTGTGGTTTGTGGCCCCATCCATGAACCTCATGTGGTTTGTCCATACCACCCTCCCCATCTATGAAAAACATTTCATTTGTGTCCTAATCCATGAGCCACATGTGGTTTGTGTTCCTATCCATATATATGAGCCTCACATACATGGTTTTTCTTCCCATCAATGATCTATAAGGATCTACACATGTTCCTTAATGGATGTTTATTTTTGGTTTAAATTTGTCTTCCGTAAACCATATTAAGGTCGCCATCATATCTAGTGGCCTCAATCGGGACAGGAAGCCGATGGCTTGTTAAAGGTCCCTCCATTATTTCTGAGGATTTTTTCCAACTGGATTTTGAACTGAAGTACGGTAATGTGTTCCCATTTACGGCTTTGGCGGGTAGGCAGTTCCATGCATTTATAACCATATGGGTGAAAAAGCATCCTATATCTGTTCTATAGAAGTTTTTGAATTTAAAGGTGTTGTTCCTTGTAAGTTTTACATTTGATTTTTTGAAGAAGTGGTTGGGATTAATAGCCTCCGATTTGTTCAGTATTTTAAAAATTTCGATGAGATCAGCCCCGTCATGTGTGGTCTGCAGTGCTGTTAATTAATCACGTGGCCTTCAACTTTTCCTGGTATGAGAGTAGACTTTGTTCTGGGATGATTTTTGTCGCTTTATGTTGAACTTTCTCTAAAGCAGATACATGTCCTACTGAAAGTGAGGTCTCCAGCGTGGATATAGTAGTTCAAACAGGGGCACAGTTCAAACAGAGATTTGCACAGTTGCATAACAACTTTCTTTTCCTTGAAGCTAAAGATTCGTTTAACTATTCTTAGAGTTTGGTTGACGTATTTTCGGCAGCTCCCACTTAAACCCATTTCAGTGACTGGTGGATCTTGGCTCCTAGGCACTTTAATTCATTAATCTGCTGCGTGGTATTCATGAAACATTTTCAGACTTCAGTTAGTGTTTTACAATCATTTACATGTTTAATATGTTCATCTCGATCTCGACGCATATTGTAAAAACTTGTTTTTTACCTCAAAGTTCATTTCAAGACCAAAAGATTCAACTTACGCCACCAGATAAGATAAGGTAAAGGTTAATACTTCTACTCTCCGTGAAACAATGCTGCTAAGCAAATACAAGAATACATGAAAGGATTTTGTTTTATTAACACATTTGGGTACATCTGCCTTTGTGCAGCTACCCTAGACTATAAAAAGGAGAGTACAGTGTGTCAAAAAACTAGCTCCGTGATGCTAAAATCCCATCACACAGGAGGGTTAGTCATAGAACGGCATGTGATAAGTAATCTGTCTGCACTGACAAACTCTGGGTGCATTATGAGGATATCATCAACACAAGAGTGAATAAGGTAGCAGTGATACTATAAGTCCCCATTTCGCAGGATGGTTAGTCATACAGGGCCATATGTTCAGTAGCCTGCACTGGCAAATTTTGGGTGCAATATGAGGATATCCCCAAGAACACGAGAGTGAATAAAGTAATTGCAAAGCTCCAGGTACCTCATGCCAACGGGTCTAATAACTGGGCATTCGGTGATGTAGTGTACAAGCTCATGCCCCAGTTCCTGCGCACAGAGTTTGCACCTGAAGTGCTCAGGATTGTGAGATCCGTCACCTGTAGCCACCTGCCACAGGTAACCATAACCCAACCTGATCCTGGCAACCACTGTGTCGCACAGTCTGGTGGGCGTTTTGTGCTGCCCATAAATATAGGTTTCAGATCTGAACAAATCATAGCTTTTTATACTGGCGCTTTCAGGTCGTTGGGAGTCAGTAATTTCTTTCCTATCAGACCTGAGTGTTTGGAATAATATAATTTTGACAGCAGAGATGGGGATACCTAGATCTAATTCAACATTCTTTGTTACATGCTAGTTTGGCTGCAATGTCTGTCTGATTATGACGGGTTATATTTATGCGTGATGGTATCCATACAAAGGAGACTCGAGACCCTTTACTCTGTGCAGCGATTAGGTCATTTATAATTGGTAGTATGAGGTTCTTGCTGTCGATCTGCCAGGAGAGGTTTTCGATTGCTTGAAGAGCAGACTTTGAATCAAAATATTATTCCTCCTCCAATGTTTTTTAATGTACTGGTAGCTAGTTGTAATGCTGCTAGTTCTGCTTGTGTGGAGGTCAGCCAGTTGTTTAACCTGACACTGTCAGTCTTTGTGCAAAAATTATTTATATAAAACCTACATGCTGCTGCAGTCCGTCCAGCAGAAGACTGGACTGTCGGTGTAG